CATTCTACCATCTATATTTACTCACAGCATGATTAAATTAAAATATATATTAATGTTCAGAAATGTTTACACCAACTGAAGTAGGCCTACATTCAGCCAAATTTCCACCAATAAACAACCAAACAACAAGAATAAACAAATATATCCTTATTTCTTTCAGAGCATTAACATTCCACACAGCTTATAAAACCACCAGCAGCAAAAAAAATAAAAAAAATAGATTTTTACTCACATTTGATGCATATTTGTCCTCAAATATGAAGAAATTAACAATTCAAAATGGCCGACCGGAAGTGTTTTTATCCAAACATTTTTACTTCTCCTGGCCACAAAAATCACTCTTCCATGTCTTGAAACACTCGAAACACTTAATAACAAATATATTTTCATCTTTTCAGCAGCTTTAGTCAGATAACTGGAAAAAAATGTTTTCCTTAAGTGTTAGCTTCCTTCGTTAGCRTGGCAGGACTGTGTGAACCTCTGCGTGTTTACATTCTCCGTCACTAAACAAAGTTCCCACCCMCTCTATATATACACCAAATGAAAGGTACGGTGATTGGCTGCACAGCTGTGGCATCAAAATGAAGCTCGGAGCTGACTGGCCGATTTTACAGTCAATCAAACCCAGGATGACGAAAACAGGAAGTTGGTCACTTCTCATATATTATTGGCTGTGGACAGCTGATACTTGAACCCAGTTGGTCAAATGAGGTGTCAATCAAAAGAGGAGAGCCTAGACGTCAAGGTTGATGCATTGAACACGGACACAGGCTGAACAGGAAACAGAACTGATACTACAAAATAAAACAAAACAAAAACAACATGTGGGCGTTCGCTGAATGTTAACAGAAACAGCATGGGATAAATTTCCATTGTTATGCTGACGATACTCAGTTATATGGTCTCAGGGTTCTGATGGTCCAGTGGAGCTCTCAGGGTTCTGATGGTCCAGACTAGAGGAGGTCTCAGGGTTCTGATGGTCCAGTGGAGCTCTCAGGGTTCTGATGGTCCAGAGGAGCTCCCAGGTTTCTGATGGTCCAGAGGAGCTCCCAGGTTTCTGATGGTCCAGAGGAGCTCCCAGGTTTCTGATGGTCCAGAGGAGCTCCCAGGT